AAAAAAAAAAAATGAAAAAATGCTGGCTGGGTGTGATGGTGCAAGCCTATAGTCCTAGCTATTCGGGAGGCTGAAAAAGGAATATAGCTTAAGCCCAGGAGTTCCTAGCTATAGTGAGCTGTCACCTTGCCACTGCACTTGAGCCTAGGGCAATAGAACCTGGTCTCAAAAACAAAAAAGAAAGAAACATGGAGGAATGTAGTAAACATCACCACAGGGAACAAGAAATTCAAATGCACCAATCCTACAGGACAAATGATCTGATTACTTCCACAGATGAAGTGCCTACAGAGTACTGGGGTGTGGGAGAAATTACTGTCAGACAAAAAGATAGGAGATGTTTCAACCAAAAGCAATGATGGACCTTGTTTGCATCCTTATTCAAATAAACTAAATGTAAAGAGACATCTGTGAGACAACCACAATGAAAAAAGAGCACAAACGGAGTAGCATGAGATGATACTAAGGAATTATTGTTAATTTTGTTAAGGGTGATAATGGTATCGTGGTTTTGCTAAAAGAAATAAATCCTAGGCAGTGCCTGTGTCTCAAAGGAGTAGGGCTCTGGCCCCCTATACCGGAGGTGGCGGGTTCAAACCCAGCCCAGGCCAAAAACTGCAAAAAAAAGAAAGAAAGAAATCTTTAAGGCTGGGTTCGGTGGCTCATGCCTATAATCCTGGCACTCTGGGAGGCTGAGATTGGTGGATTGCTTAAGCTCTCAAATTCAAGAGTAAGAGCAAGAGTGAGACTCCGTCTCTAAAAACTAGCCAGGTGTTGTGGTGGGCACCTGTATTCCCGCCTCCTTGGGAGGCAAGAGGATCGCTTGAGCCCAAGAGTTAGAGGTTGCTGTGAGCTATGACACTACAGCACTCTACTGAGGGTGACAAAGTGACTATGTCTCAAAAAAAAAAAAAGGAGCTAACACATGCAAAGCAATTGTTATTAGTGCTAATCTTCATATCAACCCCATGAAGCAGGTCCTGTTTTATCTTCATTTTTATATATGAGTATATATGAGGGATCCACACACAGAGGAATTAAAGTTGAGATTCCACCAGAGTGGTTGGAGGAATTAAACTGGTTAAAACTATAAAGGCTTAGCATGAAGCCTGACACATATCAAATGTTCAGCAAATGTCTGCTGTTAATATCAGCATCACCATTTGCTAAAGTGAACATGATCAACCTTTATTCCAGAATGGGAAGCTTCTAGCCGAACGGGATGGAGTGAAGAAGAGGAGTGAGGAGCTGGCCACGGAGAAGGATACTTTGAAGGTGCTGCCCCTCCCTAATGCCTAACAACTTCCCATAGTCCCTGGGGCTATTTTTCCCATTTCCAGTTTCAGCCACCACAGTCTGGTAAGAGCAGGGTCTCAACTCAAACCATCTGGTTCCCAGGGCCACCTAGGCAGCTCCCAAGTGGGATGAAATCCCTAAAGTCCAAGGACAGCTCTAGAAATTGAAGAGAGGGTGTTCATTTGGGATAGTAGGGGTGGGGCAGAGGGAGGGCCCGGCCAAGGGGAGTGCTGGGAAGCCACACAAATGCATGGATTCCTTCTTTGGCAGAGGCAGCTCTGTGAGTGTGAACGCCTCATTTGCCAGCGAGATGCCATCCTGTCTGAGGTAAGGGGACTGGAAAGGAAACAGCTTTGCCTTATACATGTACCTGCCTGCCTCCTGCCCCAGTCTGGAAAGGGAAGTCCTGCCTAGGTCTGATCCCTGGATAAGCAGCTGGAAGAGGCTGGAAGGTTTTGTTTCCCCTGGACACAAGCTTGACCCCTCAGGATCTGGAAGCCCTTCTGCTGATGCTGTCTTAGCCCTTAGGTCTTCCCTCAATCTTACCTTGTCCCTCAACTCCCCATCCAGCCCCAGTATCTTTGTGGGGGCTAGGCCCAGTCTCAGTTGGCTTTGGGCTTTCTTAGCGCACTCACCATGCAGAGAGCCTGGCCAAGACGCTGGAGGAGTACAGAATGATGACTCAGGTAACTCAGCTGCCTTCACCACCCACAGGGGCCCCTCTGCCTGGCCTGCCCTCACCACTACTTTCTCTGGGACTTGCTGCCTCTTCTCCTTCTGCCTCCCTCTGCCTCTTTCTTACTCTGTCAGTCTTTTTTTTAAGTCTCCACATCTTGCTTCTTCCATCCCTACTGTATGACTCTGTTTCTTTATTTTTTATTTTTATTTTTTTTAGAGACAGAGTCTCACTTTATCGCCCTCAGTACAGTGCCGTGGTGTCACAACTCACAGCAACCTACAACTCCTGGGCTTAGGCAATTCTCTTGCCTCAACCTCCCAAGTAGCTGGGACTACAGGTGCCCACCACAACACCCAGCTATTTTTTGTTGCAGTTTGACTGGGGCCGGGTTCGAACCCGCCACCCTCAGTATATGAGGCCCATGCCCTACCCACTGAGCCACAGGCACCGCCCCTGACTCTGTTTCTATTTGTGCCTTTTCACTTTTTTTATGTCCTTCCTTCCTCTCTCTCATGCTATGTATCTCTTTTTCTATTCACTTTCATTCTCTATAAGTGTCTTCTCACTGCCTCTACCTTCCTTATCTTTCTGTGTCTCTGCCTCTGAGTCTAGTCTCTCTTTCTCCCTGGGGGACTCATCTCTGCTTGGCTCTGGTCTTTATGAGTCTCTACACCTGTGTTTCTCTTGCCTCTCTGTGAGTCTGTTTCCATCTATCTCCCATGTTTCCCTCTGTCTCTGCCTCTGCTCGCCTTCTTAGTTTTCCTGGCTGTAGTTTACCTTCTGGGTTCCTGTTACTCTCTCTTTGGCTTCCTAAGTTTCTCTCACTGCATTCTTCCCCTGTCAGTATGTGTCTGGAGAACCCAAAGAAGTCAGGGAAGTGTAAAGGACTGTGGAAGAGGGGCCCAGCAATGGGAGGTGGGAGGATTAGAGCCAGGCATGCCCCCAACTGCCTCCTTTGCAGGAACTGAGGCTGGAGATCTCATGCCTAGAAGAGCAGCTGAGTCAGAGCCATGAGGGGCAGGATGAGTGAGTGGAACATCAGGGATATTGGGAGGACACAGGAAGGGAGCCCAAGAGTAGGGACGCCTGACCTCCAGCCCCAAGATGGGCAGGGCAGGGAGCCCATTACAGGCTGATTGAAAAGTGGCAGGCAGGCGTGGAGCAGCCTTCCTCCCTTCCTGACTGTGGCTAGACTATCTGAAGAAGTCCAGGCAAGAAGAGTAGGCTGGACCAATCTGCTACCCCCATCGCTGGGCTTGGAGATCAAGGCCATTCAACAGGTGGGCCTAGCACCCTTGGAATATGCTGGGGACTACCAAGGCAGAAACTCTATAAACATCCTTGCTCTGACCCTCATAACTGGCCCAGCCCCTGACCCTAGAGCTCTGGGCAGTCAGCCTGCTTGGGGAGCCACAAACTCAAATTGCTGCCAAAGGGGATCCCACCCTAACCGCACCGTTTCTATAGCTCTCTCTACCTCAGAGCCCAGCCCCCAAAACATCACCAGCCTCCAGCCCAGGCCAGACCAAACTATGACCCAGCCCTGACTCATCTCTATCCTATCTCCTTCCACAACCATCTCTGTCCTTAACTTAATCTCTAACCCAACCCTTGGTCCTGGCACCAAACCTTCTGCTCTTGCTTCCACCCCCTCCCCAAACCCAGATTCACCTTAGCCCTTTTCCACCTTCCATCCTATTCCCAGCTCCATACCAGAGCCCATGTTCATCTCCGTCTCTTACCTCATCTTCTGCCTTAACTTGGACCTCTCTGACCTGAAAAACAATTTCTCCTTTCCCAGAAACAAGAAGCAGCAGCTACTGATCTCTCCAGTCCTCTGTGTGGAGTATGGCAGTGGAAGGAAGACATCAATGAACTTGATGAGGAAGCTGAATTTCCACCTGAATCCACAGCTAGAGAACAAGTGAGCATGGGAGGGATTTTGAGCCCTTAGGAGTCTAGAAGCTCGGAAAGACCCCCAGAACTCTGAGAGCCACCTGAGCTGGCTGTGCATTTTGCTTGTTTCTCATTCAATGAGCAAATATTAAAGACCCACTGGGTGCTAGAAACCAAGCCACAATCCAGACAGGACACCACCCTACCCTAGAGATCAACTTGCCAGTGAGATAGACAAAAGTGAACAAAGCAAATACAAGCATTCAAAAGTGAACAAAGCAAATACTGTGGCTTTTGCTGTTATTTTGTTCTTTAGAAAATAAAAAGCTGTTGAGAATCACCTTTGGCTGCCTTGGCACCCAAAGCTCAGTAGTTAGGGCCCGGGCCACATGCACTAGGGCTAGCAGGTTCAAACCCGGCCTGGGCCTGCTAAACAACAATGACGACAACAACAGCAACAAATAGACAGGCATTGTGGTGGGTACCTGTAGCCCAGCTACTTGGGAGGCTGAGGCAAGAGAATCGCTTAAGCCCAAGAGTTTGAGGTTGCTATAAGCTGTAATGCCATAGCACCCTACCAAGGGCGACATAGTAAAATTCTGTCTAAAAAAAAAAGAATCTCCTTTGGGCCAGGTGTATTGGCTCATACCTGTAATCCTAACACCGGGAGGCTGAGGCAAAATTGGTTGAGGTCAGGAGTTTTGAGACCAGCCTGAGCAAAACAAGATCCCATCCATGCTAAAAATTAAAAAAAAAAAAAATAGCCAGGTGTGGTGGAGGGTGCCTGTAGACCCAGCTTACTCAGGCTGAGCCAGAAGGATCACTTGAACCCAGTAGTTTGATTTCTATGAGCTAGACTGACTCCACAACACTCTAGCCTAGGTGACAGAGTAAGACTCTGTCTCAAAAAAAAAAGAAAAGAAAGAAAAGAATAGCTGTATTTAAAACTGTGCTACTATAGAAAGGTAATAAGTCCATTGTTTATCCTAACACCATAGGGATACATTAAACCTGTATGTTTTCCTTTAAGAAAAGCTTAGCAAGCTCACTGTGAAACCTTGAACTCAGCAATAACGGTTGTTTTATGACTTCCACAATTACCCGAACAACATTTCTACATCATTTGAAACAACTGAAACATGTTATCTTCAATGTCTACAACTGAGAAATGAGATTTTAATCTATTGGTGTCAGAATTTTTTTAAAAAGAAAATATTGTTAACAGCTCTGTAAACAATACTATATTTTCTTGAAAATTCTACCACTTCAAAGCTTTGGTTTTTTTTTTTTTTTTTAGAGACAGTCTCACTTTGTTGTCCTCGGTAGAGTGCTGTGGCATTACAGCACTGGGCTTAGGCAATTCTCTCACCTCAGCCTCCCAAGTAGCTGGGACTACAGGTGCCCACCACAATACCCAGCTATTTTTTGTTGCAGTTTGGCCGGGGCCAGGTTCTAACCTGCCACCCTCAGTATATGGGGCCGGCCCCCTACCCACTGAAGCTACAGGCGCTGCCCTGTTGGCCATCCTCAATGGAGAAAATTCCTGGGTTGAGAGAAGCTTCTGTGTTTTTCTTTGACACCAGAGCTTATTTGGGTTCTTGTTTAACTCTCCCAGTTTCTCTGCAATCTGCAAGATAGGCATCCTCATCCTCATCCTCTCATCCTGTTAACTCATGGAAAACAGAGGATTTTCCTCCCTCTCAGAGGGAGAGCGCATGTCCACACTCAAAGTCTTTTTGGTGGGGGGGGAGACAGAGTCTCACTATGTCACCCTCGGTGGAGTGCCATGGCATCACAGCTCACAGCTTGAGTGAGCTCACAGACCCTCAAACTCTTGGGCTTTAAGCAATTCTCTTGCCTCAGCCTCTCAAGTAGCTGGGGCTACAGGTGCCCGCCACAATGCCCGGCTATTTTTCACACTTAAAGCTTTTGAGGGGAAGAGCTGCCTCCCTCAGAAGTAGTATAAGTTAGTTTGAGCTTCTGTTCTGTGCTCTCACGGAGACAGACCTGTCAAAGTCAAGACTGACCCAGGCCTCAGGGTGCCACCTGTGCTAGGCCTAGGGATACAGAGCTGAGTCACTCAGGGCTGAACCTCTCAGTGCTCAAGGCCTGACAGGAGAGACCAGGCACACGGGCTACCTTAATAGGGACACTAATGGTGCTAGAAGTGGGAGGTGTGCCCTGTGGGAGGCCAGAGGGAGAGGGGTGCCTGTATCAGGTAGCAGATAGGGAGAGATATCAAAGGGAAGCTGACACTTGAGTTTTCTTTGAAAAAAGAAAAAAAGGAGAGAGCTGTTAAGTGTTTTGAGGAAAGAAAGGCCTTCCAGGCAGTGGGAACAGCCTGTGCAAGGACTCGGAGGCATAAAATCATAAAATGCTTGGTGAATACAGGGTGCCTGGGGAGGACTAGTGAGAAATGAGGCCAGGGCCAGACCATGAAAGGAATTCCCTATTTAGCTGAGAGACTGTACTTTTCTCCATAAGACCACAAAACGTCTGTGAGCAGGGAGGAGTGAGCTCTGGGCATAAACAGATCCCTCTAGGACCAAGGGAGGGACCTACTAGAGGCAAGGAGGAGACTGCAGAAATGGAGATGAAGCCTAAGTCAGGCCAAAACGCTATAGATGAAGAAAAGGGAACAGGCAGAGAGAACAGAAGTGGAGGGATAGGGCAGGAAACAGATGGGCTATGGGGGGCTAGGTGATAGGAAGGGAGAAAAAAAAGGAAAGTTACTGACCTTACCTTGTGAGCTTGTGAGAGGAAATCTTGAGGCATCTCCGGGAGTCTACCCAGAGGCAGTTGGATGCATAAGACTGGAGCTTAGTGAATATACAATAGAACCTCTGTAAGTTGCCCACCCAAGGGACTATAACAAACTGGTCAACATCTGCAGGTAGTCAGCATAAGAAACTAGGCTACCGTATTGACATGTACATGTGGTGCATGTCTGGTGTATGAAAATGTGGTCAACTTAAAGAGGTAGTCAGCATAGGGAGGTAGTCAACTACAGAGGTTCTACTGTATGTAAAAACCAGAGTTGAGTTGGTGGCTGAGGTCACCAGCAATAATGAGAAGTCTCTGGAGAAAACAGAGAGGGGCCTGGGTCCTGAGGGAGAGCAGGTGGTGCCAGCCCAAGACTGCGGGGCAAAGGGTGCTAGGAAGGGAAGTGCTGAGCTCCTTTTGCTCTTGGGTGAACATGAGAGAGCTGTGCAATATCTCAGTGGGGTTAGATGATCTGAACTCATGGGTTCTGCTGGAGAAGGAGCTTGATGGAGTCTAGAACAACTGTCCAATTTCTGGCTTCTGCTTCTGGAGGAACTGTAGAGTCATCCTTGCATAGGAGGGCACAAGAGGAGGGCAGGTTTTAGGAGACGCTGGTGAATTCATGCACAGGTTGCAGCCCATAAGACCTGCTGTCTGTGGGGTCTGAGAGAGAATGATCATTGTTGGAATAAGGGCATTTTGAGTGAGAAGAGTCAGGGGAGACCTAACCTTTTTGTTTCCATAGGGAAACTTCCAGGGAGAGCTGGCAAACCCTGGAGAAGGAAGGAAGGAACTGTCAATGTGGTAAGGAGCTGGTTCCTCACTGCACCATCCCTCTGCCTCAGAGTGACACCAGCTACACCATGTGTAGAGTATCACAAAGACTGGAAGAGCCCTGAGGGAGTCATTCATTCATTCATTTATTCACATCTTCACTGAGCAGACCTCAGGCCTATGGGCCAGGAGATAAGTCAGACCAGCTCTGCCCTCAATGAGTCCAGGTTAGCAGGAGAAAGACCCTAACCCGGACAGTTCCAGGAGACCATCTGGGAGAAAACCAAGCCCACCTGGGGGGAAGGCTCCCAGGGGAGGTGCTCATGCCTGAACGGAGCCCTGTAGGAGACTCTTAGACAAGAAGAAGACACAATTGTCAGGCAGATGGGACAGCTTCATCACTCAGTCATTCTCTAACTGAAACACCTCTCCTGGGGCCTTCAGGGAACCCCCTTGAAGAGCTCCCAGTCAGTTGGGAGATTATCACAGGCTCTGGAATCAGCCTGAGTTCAAATTCCAGCTTGGCTACTTTGTAGGAAGGCTGGTGTGAGCGTTCAGCTGTATGCTGAGAAGCCCCAGCCCTGTGATTGTTATGTGATTTATATGAGGCTTGTTGTGTCCAGGCCTCCAAGGATATAGAAAGTACTGGATGTCTGGATGTCTGGGCCCCTCCTCCAGGACCCTATAGCCTTGGGGCTCTGGTTTCCCTTGGTGCTTCCCTCTCCCCCTCCCCTCTTTCAGGCTCCTGACAGCAGCAACTAATGAGGCTGCCTGCTATGGCCTCTAATTGGGCTTGTCTGGGAAGAGCTGAGATTGGGCGGGATGGGGGCTCTGGAGCTGTGACCTCCCACCTCCCCTTGCGTCACCAAGGAAAGGAAAGATGAAGGGGCTGAGCAGTAGTAGGCGGGAGGGAGGAAGGCAGTTGCCATCTGTATTTCTGGAGGATAGGGGCAATATTATCCACAGGTTGGGAAGCGGAAATGAGGCAAGTGGTGGATACCATGGCTTCTAAAAGTGGCCAGGACTTGAACCTTGAGAGGGGCTGAGAGTCTAACTACCTGGGTCCCAAACAGAAATTTCAGAGTGTCAGACAGGGGCAGAGGCTGGGGGACTGCAAGCCTGCATCCCTCATTTGGTGAGCGCTGAGGTAATATCCAGATCCCTGAATGTGTTAGGGCTAAAGCTGGTAGTGGTATGGCTGCAGGACAGGGTCCCTGGTCCTCAGTGAAGACAATGCCTGGTGGTGTAGATATCTAGGTCTCAGAGGGGCATTCATGCTGGGAAACTTGAGACCTAAGCCCCCAAAGAGGCATTTCAGGGACTCAGACAATTGTGATCCCAGGGAGTCTGAGGCTGGGGGCTTATATATCTAATAGGAGGACCTGAGATGGGAGCAGAGCTCAAATGGTTGGATTCTATGGGCCTGGAGGTCTAAGTTAGAATCCTAGTCTTTAAAAAAGACCTACTAAGACGTGAGAATAATTAAGAGTGGCACAGGCCACTAGACAGAAATGGGAGGAGAGGCTTCTACACACGCCTGGGATCTTGGAGTGATCTGAGTCTCTGGTGTTTTGGAGGGTGTGAGAATTGGAAACCTCAGCTCCTGGCAGGGGAATTAGGTAGGAAAATGGTGCTGATAAAGCCAATCTGACATGAAGAGGCCCCTTTACCTTTCTGGGAGTCATAGGCTCTTTTGATATATATATTATTATTATTATTATTTTGCAGTTTTTGGCCAGGGCTGGGTTTGAACCTGCCACCTCAGGCATTTGGGGCTGGCGCCTTACTCCTTTGAGCCACAGGTGCTGCCCCTCTTTTGATAATTTGGTGAAAAATCCCCTAAAATGGGTGGAGGGAGGGTGATTGGTGGGAACACCTCTATGGTTTATTTTATAAGGGTACAAGTGAATCTTTCTAAAAGTAGAATATAAACTAAGAAAACACAATAACTAAGAAAATGACATGAAGGCTATGTTAACCAGTTTGTTGAAAATATTTCAAATTGTATATGAAAACACCACACTGTATCCCATGATTGCATTAATCTACACAGCTATGATTTAATTAAAAAAAGAAAAGAAAAGAAAATTCCCCTAAAAAACATATTTGGAGCACACACCCAGTTTCATCCATGGTTCCTGATTTGTGTTAGACCCCTGCCCTGAAGGGGTTCTCTTCCAGCCCTTCAGTGGGCAAAAGGAACCAGGCAGAAGAGGAGGATATTTGCAATGAATGACTTTGTTGGTCCTCAGGTTACCCAGAAGAGAGGAGGAAGATGAAGCAGATAGCAGCCAGACAGCTGACAGCCAGATCATGGTAGGCAGTCCCCAGTGCCCCTCAGCCTGTCCCCATCCCCTCCAGGCCTACAGAGGCTGAGTTGTTTCAATGCCTTCCAAGCCCCTACCCCACACCCCTACTCTTCAGAAGCATAGAGAAAAATCATTTGACCAAGAAAGATAACAAGGTCCTTGCTGTATCCAATGAGAGTAATGGTGATGAGGGGGAGGCCCAAAGGCCAGAATATTCCCAGGGGACCCCCAGCTGCCCCATACCCACTCATGCACACACACACACACCTGCAGCTGCTACAGTGGTTACACCCCCAGATTGCATCAATGCACATGCACAAGCACCTATACGCTGTGGTGGGAAGGCAGCCTCAGAATTCCCCAGGGACCCAGTGACCCATACTCCCCTGCTTATAGCCACACACTGGCTTCACTGCTCTTTAGGGGAGCAGTGTGAGGTGGAGGTTACAATTCTGATCCTCAGGCAAGGAAGGGGAGAGAGATTGGTGAGGAGAGTGAGGAGCCCGCAGTCCTCAGTTAAGGAACACAGGAGCTGGGCTGGAATCTGTGTGGCTGTGGGCCGGGTCCCTTATGGCTCCTCAGGGCCCACACTGACCAAGAAGTCTGGTCTCAGGGATACTGAGCTCCCAGCAGCCTGACCTAAAACCCTGCCTCTTCCCCTCCATACGGCACTTCCTTCCAGGGAGACTGGGGTTCTACCAATGCTTCCTCACAGCTCATTTGGGGATAATCTTTCGCAGTTCCCAGGGTGGGGATCAGGGTGAAGGACCATGTCATAAAGGACCTGGCTCCATGCCTGGCATAGGTGGCCATAGTGAAGATGATTGTTGGGATGGGTGTTCTGTTTTTACTTTTTGTCATTGTTACCGTCATCATTATCATCTATAGAGCAAAAGTGTGGGAGTAGGAAAGCCCTTCCAGAAGAGAGACTTTCGGTTGTATAGCAGGTTGGGCCTGGCCCCTAGAGGAATATCTGGGGCTTGATATTAAAGTACCTGCCAATTCTTTTTTTTTTTTTTTTTTTTTGTGGTTTTTGGCCGGGGCTAGGTTTGAACCTGCCACCTCCAGCCTATGGGGCCGGCGCCCTACTCCTTTGAGCCACAGGCGCCGCCTAGCACCTGCCAATTCTTACACAGGCAGGAAGAAAGGCTCTGAGGAGTACCTTTACTGACACAGGGATGGACACTGGTGAAAGACACAGAATCACTGTTCTCAGGGAGGTTGGATGCTTCCAGAATCAGATGAAAAATGGAGATTATAACTTTTTTTTTTTTTTAAGACAGAGTCTCACTATGTTGCCCTTGGTAGAGCACCATGATGTCACAGCTCACAGAAACCTCAAACTCTTGGGCTTAAGTGATTCTCTTGCCTCAGCCTCCCGAGTAGCTGGAACTATAGGCGCCCACCACAAAGCCCAGCTATTTTTTGGTTACAGTTGTCATTGTAGTTTAGCAGGCCCAAGCTAGGCTTGAATCCACCAGCCTTGGTGTATGTGGCCAGCACCCTAGTCACTGAGCTATGGGCGCTGAGCCTGGAGATGATAATGTTGAATAGCTCACAGAGTTACTTACTGAGCACTCACTATGTACCAGGCACTGTACTAAGCCCCTTCCCACACTTTTTTACCTACATTTACTCATATAATAACCATGTTAAATCTATAAGATGGAGACTGTCATAATCCCTGACCGGCAGATGGGAAAAATGAGGCATAGAGAGGTGCCTCATGCCAAGAACACATAGCCCGAAGCTGGCAGAGCTGGGAACTCAATCTGGCAGCATGGCTCAGAGAAGCTCCCACATTAAGTCCCATGTTCCATCACCTTCCTTGTGGATATTTATGTCCTGAGGGTTTCTCCCAATCCAGGACTCAGTGCCTCAAGTTCATCTCTTTGTCCTCCCAGGCTGATCCTCCCATTCCTCTGGGAGACCCTCATCCTACAGACATCCCAGGATGCCCTCCTGAGAGGTAACAGGACCCACAGGAACTGGGAGGGGGCTTGGGTGTTAAGAAAAGCCCTGTGGTGATTGCCCTTCCTTCTTTCCCTCTAGTAGCCTTTCCCAGCCAGAACTCCAGCAAGCTCTGGTGCCTGTCATGAAAGAACTGGTCCCAGTCAGGAGAAGGCCCTGGAGTCAGCTCTGCCTGCCTCCACAGCAACTCAGGTGTGTCCCGAGCCATCTCCAGAAGGAGGGAGATGGTCTGACTTTGGGAAAGGCTAGGGGCTCCTGGCCCCTGCCCTAAGCACTCCCCCTCATCCCCACCAGGGTCACTCGGCACCCACTGATCCCAGGCCCGGTCATGGCCCTGCTGCTGCTGTTGCTGATCTCCATCCTACTGCTGGGCCAGTCCCCACCCCCCACCTGGCCCCACCTCCAGCTCTACTACCTCCAGCCCCCACCAGTGTGAGGCCTCCCCTTCCCACCCAGAGCCCTGTCTAGTTCAATAAATCCCCCAGGGTTCTTTGTCCTGTTAGCCCCATTGTTATGCCACTGTTGTTGGGCTTAAGCCAGATACGGGACATGAGGATCCAGTCCCATGTGTTGGATTTTTATGTGATGTCTCTTGGTTTTATAATGTTGGTGACTACATTTCTTAACAATAACAAAATATACTCAATAATGGATTAAACACTAAAGGTTATTTTCTTCACAAAACAAGTCTGGAGGAGGGTAACTATGAGCCCATAGCTCAATCTCAATAGCCTCAGAGTTATAGTCTCAGTAATTCTGTGGCCCCTTCCCTCATGCTCAGGAGATGGCAGTTGTCATAGTGTCTTCACATCTGCAGAGAGAAGGAAATGTGATAGAAAAGCAAAGGTCTTCCCAGAGCTGCTTGCAACTTGTATTTACATGTCTTGTTGTCCAGACTGTCATGACCTTCCTTAGCTGTAAGGGAGGCTGGGAGACATGAGAGGTGCTTGGCACATTGCTGCCCAAACAATCTGTTAGTGAGGTAACCTTTGGGGAAGGTAGATAAAGTAATAAAGTGTCTTGCCATGGCAACTCATTCAGAAACAAAATTTTTGAGACAATAAAAATAAAAACAAACTTGCACTCTCACCCTGCCTAGAGTACAATGATGTCATTATAGCTCACTGCAGCCTCAAACTCCTGGGCTCAAGCAATCCTCCTGCCTTAATCCCCCACCCCCAAGTAGCTGGGACTACAGACACCCGCCACCATGCTCAGCTAGTTTTTATTATTATTTTTAGAGACAAGGGTCTCACTATGTCATCCAGGCTGGTCTTTAACTCCTGGGCTCAAGTGAAGCAGCCTTCCAAAGTGCTGGGATTACAGGTGTGAGCTACCTCACCTGGCCTCATTCAATTATTGATAAAACACTGCAGGGCACAGACCCAGCGACACAGACCATGAGTGTGTAGCCTATGAGCTCCCTGCTTCAGCATTTATTACCAGAATGCTTTGAAGGGGTTTCTGGACACCTGTTCTCCATGATCTCTCCTTCCCTATTTTGTCTGCATCTATGCCCTGCCCCCAACACAGGGCCCTGACTCAGTCCTTCCACTACCCCATGGGTAGCAACCTGTGTTGACCCAGTTCTAATTGAATCTTAGGTCAGTAATGAGTGATCTTCCATCTCCCTCAAAATACATGCAAGACCAATGTTAACATTGACCATCTTCGTGGTCTAGCTTTGATGCATTATTATACTATAAGACTCTCTACCTAGAGTAAGGCTGAGGAGATGAGGGTAATGATGGCGACTGAAAACTGTACCCTACTCCCAGAAAATATATCACTGGGCACCAACTGTGTGTCTAGCATGTGGCCCTTGGTACTGGAGTTGTATGGGAAATGTCCTAAGCTTTGCTACCTTATAGCATTGCTTGGAAGATCCAGGAAGCTCCATATAAGTAACAAGAGCTGACAACTAGGAAGGCTTGCCCCATAGTGGGAGGGCACTGTTGCCAGGCACTTCCAGATGTTTATTTAATCTTTACCTCAACCCTAAGAGGTAGGTCCTATTACCACTTTACAGGTAAAGAATCTGAAGCACAGAGAAATTAAATAACTTGACCCAGATGTCACAGATAAAAATTTCAAGAGTCAGGACCCATATTCAGACGGTCTAAGTTGAGTCCAACAACTAACTTCACACAGTGGTCATTGCTGATTATAGCAGCCTAGCATTTAAACATCCTTCCTTGCCTAGGAAAATCCCAAAATAGGAGGGAAGCAGGGCCCCACTTTCAACTGTGTGAGTCAAAGGAAGTGATGTTCCCTCTCCCATCTCTCAGGAGGATGGGCTGCCATGAGGAACCCTTGCTCATCCCTGTGGCCAGGGAGAAGGATCATGAAATTAGTAGCCCAACCAGTTACCTCAAGGAAGACAAGCAGTCTTCAAAAACAGGAGAAACTCTTGACAGAAAAATGGGTACAGGGATGTGGGCCAGGCACACACCAAAGAGGTCCACTATATTGCAAATGGCAAACAGAAAGTGCACTAGGGTACCATTTATTCATTCATCAAATACATATCAGTTGGCTCGGCACCCATAGCACAGTGGTTACCACCAGTTGGCCGGTTCGAAAATGGTCCGGGCCAGCTAACTAACAATGACAACTGCAACAAAAAACAGCCAGGCATTGTGGCAGGTGCCTGTAGTCCCAGCTACTTGGGAGGCTGAGGCAAGATAATCGCTTAAGCCCAAGAGTTTGAGGTTGCTGTAAGCTGTGATGCCACAGCTCTCTACAGAGGGCAACAGTGAAACTCTGCCTCAAAAAAACAAACAAACAAAAAACTTATCAATCACCTGTTTGCTACAACTAGGCTTAGAAGATGAAGCTGTATTCTTCTCCAGGGCCAGGGCCAGGGCCAGGCAGTACCTCCAGGGCCAGATTGAGGAGCTTTGATTTTTCTTCCACGGATGATGGGAGCTTCAGAGATTTTATTGCTTATTTGTCTTGGGCTATTTGTATTTTAATTGAGGTGTAACTTACATACAGATAAGTGGTTAAATCTTAAATAATCATCTGGGCGAATTTTTGAGCACATATGTATCAAACCACAATTTAGGTCAGACATAGGTCAATTTCAGCTCCCCAGATGCTCAGTAGAGTTGAGCAAGGGAGGGACAGAGACCTGTTCAGAGACAGATAGCAATAGATGTAGCTCTAAGCCCTGTGGGAGACTAGAAAAGACACTTCACTCAGCCTGGACCGAAGATAACTCTTCCCAAGTAAGTGACATCTGTGTTCAGATGGGTAAGGTTTGGGTTACCATGAGTAGTAACTGGGGGAGGGTGTCAAAGACAGAGGAAACAGTATATGTGAAACCCAGTGGCGGGAAAGACCAGTGTGTGTGTGGAGAGCCATGGGTAACACCATGTTGCTGGCTTTTAGATAAAAATAAAAATAAGATTTGCAGCCAGGGAAGGACTTAAGGCTGCAGCATGGTGGGAAATAAGATACACAGGCAGTAAGAGCCCATGAAGGGTTTTGAACATCACTTTCTTCCCAAGTGCCCTTGAAAGGGCTGTGAGCAGAGGAAGGCAGCACCAACTCTGGGCCTGTATAGGAGATGAATGAAGGGAATGATATTGGAGCACTTGAAGTGGGGAGGAGTCTGGGGCTGTGGTCCAGGTGGGAGAGGAGGAGGCCTGAGGTGGTCAGGTTCATGGAAAGGAGGGAACAGCAGAGAGAGGCAGGGCATGAGGGATGGGGTTGGAGACTGACCAGAAGAGAAGTAGGATAAAGAAGGAAGGACAGTGCCTGGGACCTACTCCAGTGACCAATAGTGGAGCCATTCTGAAGATAGGGAACCCATGAGAAAGAGTGGGCCTGGGGAAAGATTCTCAGCTCATTTGGTGGCTGGACCCCTGAGCTCCAGCCCTAAACTGCCAGTCTGAAGAAGGGGACCTGGGTGTTGTTAGCTGTGGATGGTGATGGAAGCTTTGAGGATTGTTGAATTTTCATTAGAGTGAAGAGGGAAGGGATTCCAGGCACTATTTTGAGAAAAGCCTCAAATACTAAGAAAGGGATTTAGGAGACAGTAGAGTACTGGAGGAGCTCAGGCAAGTAGCCAGCTACCGGGTCCTCCACAAAATAAAGCAGAAGCCTCTTCATAAGGTGCTTGTGAGGTTAAAAGAGCCAATACAAGTACAGCACTTAGAAGAGCACCTGGCTGGGGCGGTGCCTGTGGCTCAGTGGGTAGGGTGCCGGCCGCATATACCCAGGGTGGCCGGTTCAAACCCGACCCTGGCCAAACTGCAACAAAAAATAGCCGGGCGTTGTGGCAGGCGCCTGTAGTCCGAGCTACTCGGGAGGCTAAGACAAGAGAATCGCCTAAGCCCGGGAGTTGGAGGTTGCTGTGAGCTGTGACGCTACAGCACTCTACCGCGGTCAACAAAGTGAAACGCTATCTCTAAAAAGAAAAGAGCACCTGGCACCAGGCAGCCACTCATTAGCATTTTAATTCCACTTCTCTACTAGAGAGGTGGAAAGAGTTTGAAATTGCACCAATGTAGATTCCAGCAATTCTTCTGCCCCTTACTAGCTCCAACAACTTGGGAAAATTGCTCCTGAATTTGTCTTATTTATTTGTAAAATTAGGCCAACTCCGGATGGATTTGAGGAATGCAGTTATTACTTCATTATTTCAGTATTTCTGAATGACACTGAGGAAACAGTCCCGGCCCCCACAGGCTAACGGCCAATTAGGACTCCGTCCACCTCCAGAAAATGCGAATTCTCTGCCCATCTTACGCTCCAGTCCCGCCCCTCCTCCCGCTCTGGGAGCGTCCAGCACCACCTCTTCTTTAGACCAATCAGAGAGCGGTCCGCAACGCGCAGATCAGAGCCCTCCTGCGGGGAATAGGTTACCATGGTTACCGTCAAGGGGCGGGGCTGAAGGGCCAGCCTGGCCTCTAGGGAAAGAGGCAGATTTTGATTGGCTATTTCCCCCCTTCACCTGAGGCCCAGCTGTCTCCCTGCCCTCTCCAAGTCCCTCCCAGAGCCTGACGCCTGGTCCTCTCTTCTCCCGCCCCACCCTGGCCCCGTATGATCTCCGGTGGAGAGAACAGTCAGAAAACCTCAAGGAAACTAAAGGAGGCAGCTGTGAGAGGAGGAAACCTTTTTCTACTAAAAGTATTTTGCTACCTGCCAGGCGCGGTGCAAAAGTCTTCTTGTGAAATATCTGGTTTGATCTTTGTAACAGATGGGAAAAGGAGGCACAGAGAGGTTAAGAAGCCTTTCTCAGGGTCAGCGCCGTAGCTCAGTGGGTAGGGCGCCAACCACATACACCGAGGCTGATGAGTTCGAACCCGGCCCGGGGCCAGCTAAAACAACAATGACAACTGCAACAACAACAACAAAAAAAAAAAAAAAAAAAGATGAGCGTTGTGGCAGGCGCCTGAGTCCCAGCTTCTTGGGAGGCTGAGACAAGAG